CCACTTGAACCCCCCCCCCCTCCTACCGGATTCATAAAACTGAATTTTGATGGATGTAGCTTAAGAAATCCAAGGCCCTCTGGGATAGGGGGTGTTTTCAGGAATGAGGAGGGGTATATTACTGCCATGTTCTCTGGGCCAATTGGAGAGGGTGACTCTCTTAGAGCCGAAATTCTAGCAGTTCTTGAAGGAATCCAAAGAGCAAGAGAGTTAAGCATTAGATGCTTAGTGATTGAGGGGGACTCGAAGGTGGTGATTAGGTGGCTGAAAGGAGATATCAATGGCTTGTGGAGCTACAGCAATGAGAAGAAAAAATTCAATTGGTTGTGTAAGGACTTAGAGGTGCAATACAGCTGGGTGAAGAGAAGTACTAACTCAATGGCTGATGGGTTAGCTAAGCAAGGGGTTCTTTGTTTTGGGCACATTTTTAGTATTTTGTTGCCATTTTGATGTTGGGGAGTTAAGATAGTTTACGTCCCCGTTTTCTGTAATTAATTTTCACAAGTATTATTCACTAATAAAGATTTCTGTTATCGATCAAAAAAAAAGTGGTAAAATGAGAAAAAAAAAGGTATGAAAAGTAAATAGAATATAAAAGGCTCGCATAAATAAAAGTAATCATACACAAAAATAGCTCTCAAGTGAGCTTATATCTGGCAAAACTTTAAGAAAAGCCATAAAGTGTCTGAAACTAGCCTGCCTTGCCACACCAATGGGAATAGAGAAGATATAAAGAACATTTACCCTACTCTTGATTCAGACTGAGCTCAAATCCCCACAAAATTTTCTTTATTTTTATTGGACAGAAATTTTATTTATTATCTGAAAAAAGATGTAGAAAGAGCAAATCTTCCATCAAACAATGGAGAAGACAAAACCAGGCTGGCAGCCTAGCACAGGGCATATAGCGAGAACAAATTATAAAGGCAAACTACGGAGAAGACTTCCCAGTAACTTCAGTCCTTCTAATCATGGTCTTAAAAGTGCAAGGCACACGAAAAGTGCAAGGGCCTTCGGGTGCCCAGCATGCAAGGCAAGGCATGAGCCTTTTTGAAGCAAGCGCAAATTTTTGAAAAACTTTTATATTTGAAAGGTGAAAATATAAAAGTTAAAGAAAACATATAAAGCATATTCAAAGTGAAAGCGTGGAAGTTAAAGCAAACATATATGGATTGTACCTAAGTGTTTCAAGCACTCAAACAATTCAAGCATGTGAAACTTGCAATCTGTTTATTTATCTCCTAATTGCAGTACTTCAAGTGACTAGTGTATGTTAAACATCTTATATTCCTAATCATAACTGGTTGGCCCTCCACCTCCATAAAAGTCCCTTCAGGCAAGCCCAAACAAGTCCATGCAGGGGTTTGGGGCAGCTTACGGATTTTTGGGCTGTATATATAAAGGGGTTGGTTTTGTGATTTCAGTCATACTTCATTCTATTTTAGGATTACAGATCAGATATTGGTTGTATTAGGGTCCATTTGGGAGGGATGGGTTGAAGATTCAGCTAAGCTTGTTCAGCTGCTTTGAAGCACTCCAGATAAGCTATTCAAAGAAGCTGAAGCAGACAGCCCTTCAAACAACTGACAGCTGATTTGATCTCTCCAGATTTTTCACCAAACAAAGTTTATAGACTATCCATGAGGGGCCCACCTCAGAAATCCAGAAGCCACTACTCTTCAGCCCTCTCAAATCGGCACTTACTGTTGTTTCTTCAGTGAAAACTTTGCTATTGAGATCCTATGGCAAGAAATAAGGCTTCAGGCATTTGAAATGTATTTGTTTTTTGTTTATTTTAATAGACTATTACAGTCAAATATTAATAAAAGGTAATTTAAAAGTTGACAAACCATTACAAAGGTGTAAAATAAGTTTGAATTTACAAAAACAAAAACAAAAAAGGCGTACACTTGGGCTGAGACACAAGGCATACCAAGTGCACACCTTTTGAAAGGGATTCTGCTTGGGTTCAGGCAAGGCACATGTCTTAAAATGTGCCTCATTTGTGCATGGCTACACCTAGGCGCACCTTTTAAAAAACTGCTTCTAATACCTCCTCTAGCTAGAGAGTTGGCCAAGGAATTAACTGATCAAGGTACTCATTATTTTTTTGATGAACGAGTAAAATTTTATTAAACCAGCAAATAAGAGTTACACGCAACCTATAGAAAGGCATGAGATGCGACCTTTCCTTTAAAGCTAGTTACAGAATTATAAGTATAAAAGAAATTACACAGAAGCCCAAAAGAAAGTATCCCGGAGAACCCCTTGTTTTGCAAGTGAATCAGCCATTGAGTTTGCTGATCTGCCTACCCACTGAACTCTGATTGTCATATTCCTTGTTAACCATTTAACATTTTTGAGAAGATCTCCAAAACCCCAAATCACAGTGTCCGGATCCTTCAGCCAACCCATTGTCACCTGGGAATCCCCTTCAATGATTAGATGCTTTATGCCTAGCTGATTTGCAAGCTGGATTCCTTGTACAGCAGCAAGTAATTTGGCCCTTAACGAGTCTCCCACACCCGCAGGATGTGGGAATGCTATAAGTTTTACAGATTTTAAAACATCTAGGTACTCATCTGGACAAGATTTTTTTAAAACATATAATTTTACAAACCTTAAAAGTGTCAATGCTATAAGTATACTCTAGGAGTGTCCATGCAGTATCCTTGTCATTTCGGATACATATCAGGTCTGGCACTGGTACACACAGCATGTACAGGTATAAGGTACAACAAAAAGAAAAACCAAAAAATACGGCCGGAAGCCTAGAATAGAGAACTCACTCTCCAAAAACCAACCCCAGAGACTAGCCCTGCATTGCAGCTGCCCCACACAACTCTTCCCAGGATATAGCTTGTCTAGTTAGAGGAACTTTTTTGGTAAGGATGAAAATTATATTATCAGAAGAATGGATCACCAAGAATTTTGTAGAGATCATGGGCCGAATGGGCCTTAGTTTCTTTGTGTTTCTTTAAGTTATGTTTATGACTTGTGTTAGTAGGTAGTGGGCCATAGTTATGGGCCTATGTTTCTCTTTTTTTTATTGTTTTTTAATACTGTCTTTAGTGATGGACGCCCTACTAAGGGTACTCATGCAATTGTCTTTATTTTTTACAACAAGAGAATAAAAGAGTTCATTGGGGGCTGAAGAGAGGTTTGGAACTACTCTCTCTTCTTCTTCTTTTTTCTTCCATCTTCTTCCTCCATCACTTCTCTCTCTTCAATCTCCTTCTTTTCTCTTGTTTCTTTTCTTTTAATTCAGATTATTGCAGGTGTGATTTACAACTAATTTCAATATGGTAAAAACCATAGTTATAGTTAGGTAGATAAGTGTTGGTTTAATATCAAATGGATTTCCATACTGGTGCAAGGTATTAACATTGCCTAAGATGAGTTCCCTTTATCATGCATCAAAGGGGCTAATGAAAATGGAAAGCAAGCATAGATCCAAAAGAATTAATGCAAAGCATAAGTAAACAAGAATTGTTTTATCCCCAAACCACCAAAAAGACAACTATTTCCATAACCAGTTCATTAACCTTTCAATATCAATCAATGACTAAGTTTCAAAGCACAAGTAAAGAATAAATGTTTTATCCCCAAGGCCCAAACCAAAAAAAAAAAAACTATCTTCATAACCAGTTCATTAACCTTTCAATATGATCAATCAGTGATTAAGTTTCTCTTCATATCAATTACTCAAGATGTCATCCCAACTATTTACCAACATGGAAAACATAATTCACAGGTAGTTAACTGATAAAGAGCATAACCAGACCTGAATGGAAAATGCCAACCCCAATATATTATTTGCCAGCCAATGCTTCTGTTTAGCATACCATACACAGAAAAAGGTTCCTGGGATTGCAGCTACAATCTGAGACCTTGTAAACTCTACCTCCACAGCTGTGTAAGAAAGGCACAAAGATAAACATCATTCTGCATCGTAAAGGTACAATCAGATATCCACATATTAAAGGGCAACTAAAAGGATGAGAAAATGTATGCAGAGAGTGCACTAGTATATTGCCAAATACAGTCATTAAGAATAAGAAAACCAAATAGTTTACTATGACCAAGCCATGTGACAACTCAACAGACACTCTTTCCTTTCCAAAGGAAAAGGGAAAGTCAATGATGATAAGTGCTACTGCCCACTGCAAAAGATCCTCTTACCCAGACATCTATGGATGCGCATTATGCATGTCATACACTTCTATTTTTAATTTGAACTCCATGTCCAAGACCTTGTCCAGCTGTGTCTGGGTAATAGATACCTGGTGTCTTTATCACTTGGCACTAGATAGAAAGAAAGTCATTTGTCTCTCTAGAAAAGTGGCTTTTAAAGTATATCCAGACTGCTAAAATTCCAAGTGATCAAGCAAGTAAACAGTTTTCAAAAAGTCAAAATGTGTATCTAAGCTCTAAAAAATTATTAGATTATGTTACCAATTGAGGTTCTTAAGAAGTTGGAGCAAGCAAGATAAAGGGCACAAATCATATTTGATATATTCTACAGCATTGATAGGATCAGCAAAATGTTCCATTGTAGAGCATAGTTGCCAAGGCGTCACCTAGGTGTTGCCTAGGCGACAAGGTGCCCTTTGAAGCTCACCTAGCCTAATTGCCAAGCAGTTTTCTACTTCCTACTATAAAATATTTTTTTATTCATTCTTTTTTATATTATAATTATAAAATAGACATTATTAAACTAAAATAATCATTCTGTGTGTTTATATACTAATTTGTTTTTATTATTTTCTTATTTATTAGGGTTTAATCAACACAAATATTGCTAAATGTTGTATTGAACCCTCAAAGACTTAAAAACCCGAACCAATAAGTAAGGAAAAACTTGAAATTTTATCTGATCAGCACATTTTCCTCTTCCATATATGCTTCTTCTACTTCTTCTTCTTCTTCTTCTTCTTCTTCTAATACTACTACCAATACTTTTTATTTTCTTCTTTTCCTATAACAAAAATAAGGGTTCAGCCCCTGTATTTTTTGAATTTTATTTTCCTTCTTCTTTTTCTTCTCATGAATATGTTGATTTTCTGTACTTTAATATGAAATTTATACTTTTCTTATGAAAATCATGAATAATTATTAAAGAAATATGGTTATGGTACCTAGGGAACTACCCTAGGATCTATGTTTTTAACATTTAAAAAAAAAAAATCCATCACCTAGGCAACAAGGCGCCCCCCAGTCGCCTAGCCTCGCCTTGGCGCCTTGAAAACTATGTTGTAGAGTATAGGACAATAACAGCCAGTGGCCCTATCATATAAAATCATTATGTGCACCAAATATCAATAATATCACCATGCTAATACAGGGTACATATCAATAAATATCACAGTATACTCTTAGTTATGCATGAGAATTTATGTGCACTCAATTTCATGCGTTAGAAATAGAGTACAGACAAGTAGTTTGTCATGCCATCAGGTGTTTGACAAAAGAATATGAAACCACAAATAGCTCCACCGTTCTGTGCATGGAATCATGCACACCAAGATTCAAGATTTTTGGGGAGAGAAATGATATATTCATTGCTATGTAAAACCAGTTTGTACAACAGGGGATGTATAGCAGACAGAAGAAAACAACACTCCCAAAAAACCAAATAACTATTAGTATTAGGAAGAAGCTCATAATAAGCATTTGGAAGAACAAAGTGAAAAAGAAGGCAATCACATACAACGGAAATATGGAAGATGCAACTTAATGGAATCATCATTCCAATGTCTCGGAAGAAACCGCCTAATAGCAGGTAGCAATGTTGCACTGTGGAGGTGAAAAAACAAAGGAAATTACACAATGAGGACAAAATAGAATTATAAGTCACATCTGACCCATATCAGAAAAAAAGGAAAATATATACTAGAATTTATGCAGAAAGAACATACGAAAGCGCAATGATTCCAAGTACAAAAAAGTAGCATGTCAGTACAGCATTGACCAAGTCTTTTGATAGGAACTTGAACAATAAGAACAGTGATAAGAGCATCGCACTTCCAACTAAGGGAAAGCGCACAGCATGTTCATGTGACATTGTCTCCTGCATGATTAGGTGAGTGAGATTAGATGGAAAATACAATAACATTTAACTGTAGACAAGAAAATAACACAGAAACAAACAAAATATACAAGCATGGATATAAAGATCCAGGAGCTGATCCCTCATAATGAGCATAGCATCACACCCAACTTGGATGGATGCTTGTTGGAGCCACCCTGGTAAAGAGTCTAGAGTCTTTATGAGAGGTGATAGATCCAGGAGCTGATCCCTCATAATGAGCATAGCATCACACCCAACTTGGATGGATGCTTGTTGGAGCCACCCTGGTAGAGAGTCTAGAGTCTTTATGAGAGGTGATGGGGTGATGACTATAGCATATTCTAGGCTGATGGGTCCAAGAGACTTGGCAAGACCTAAGGTGCTGCTTCTCCAGGTTTTCATCCATCTATATAGTTTCCATGGGGTATAAGGGGCTCACCACCAATTCACCAAGGGGTAACTAGATTATTGAAGTGGATGAGGAGGAGGAGGAGGGGAGAGAGAGAGAGAGAGAGATTTCAGTAAAGACTTGGGTGGTCTTCAGCATGCTTCTAGAGAATTTGGAGGATTTTTATGCCTCTATTTAAGCTTGGATATGCAAATATCACCATTATAAAAAAATAAAAAGGAATAAGAAAAAACTTCTTTGGGCTGAAAAATCATCCTTGGGACCAACTTTGTGCATGTAAAAAACATTAGGCTTCACAAAAGATTCACTCTCTGCTTCAAATAGCAAAGCTGCAGAGCAAAATTTTGCAGCCACAATTGAGTGCAAAACAATTATAAGTTCTATATTCAAGAACTTGAAACCATTAAAACTAAAGACCTATCCATCAAAAAGCGAGCCCCCCCCCCCCCGAGCAGTGTAACTAAATTTCAATCGCTGCTCCTTAGGGATAGAGGTGCATTTAAGCATGAAGAAGGTGAGATTTTTGTTACCATATTCTAGCCATACAGAAGGGACTATTGTTTCGTACAATGATAAATAGCACTACCAGATCTGGCAACTCAACTAGAAATTAAAGAAAAGCATTGATTTAATGCCTTGGATTCATGGAAACTAGGGCATAAATGGTTTGGATCAAGAAAGATCAACCTATATCCAGTTAAGGTCCAACATAGCATGAGAATTACCAAGTTTAAATCTGGCTCCAGCATCAAGTTTGAATCCTGTTACTGAGATCCATAACCAGCCCATTTTTTACTATATGGATCATATCTAGTCAAGTTTCATGGGTTTGCACATATAGCAGGCTTGAAATCAAATTAAGATTATATTAGATCCACATGGACAAATTCATATCAACCTAACATGCATGCATCATGCTGTATTGGAGAGCCCCTGGTTGGGGTTGCACTGCCCTTGTCAATTGTTCATGGAAAAGAAAAAAGATACTTATACTTACTGATGGTGGTGTTGGCTTCACTGACCGATAACAACCAACATAAACAGTCAAAGATGCTGTTAAAATAACATTTAGATTTGGATCTACTTTCATAACAAGTGGTGCCAAAGTTAAACCTACACCCAAAAAAATAAAAAATAAAAACAAGTCATATAAAACCATACCAGAACTCCTGAAACATAAGCAACATTGGATCAATCAAATATAGAAATGATGCATGTTGATGCAGTTTAGGATACCGAAATTAGCATCCAAGTTATGATATTACTATTATTCAAGCATTTTTCCTGTTAGAAAGAGTAGAGCATGTTCCACAAATATTTATTTAGATAAAGAGCAACCCAGGGCAAGCAACGCTAACACTCTTTTCTGTGTTGATCAGTTTTTTTTTATAATTGAAAGTCGAATTCATTAGCAAAAAAATATATAGACTGATTTTCTGTGTTGATCATTTACCAATGCCATCTCCTTTATCTCTTTTTGGTGTGAATAGGCCACCATGGCAAACAATATACTTGATGTTGTAGGTAGAAGAATCAATGAGAAAGGTAGGGCTTCAGTCCAGGTGGTTAGACATTCTAACAGGGCCATGAACAACATGAGAATTGCAGAACATGGCTTTTCTCCACAGGTACCTACCTCATTGGGAGATTTTAAAACATGCAACCCAAACCAACAGAAGTTGAAAGTTGGGTAACGATGGTGTGGTTGTATCTGAAAGATCCAGAGGAGAGAAGACTATGCAGTGGACTCCTGTTAACTGTCTGATCAAATGAGGCTCTAGAGGTCCTGGATAATGAGCATAGAAAATTCAACAGTTGCAAGCTCCATCTTGTGAGATGGAGTTCATCAGTGGGTACAATTAACATTTCCGCTGGCTATGCACGCTGATGGGTGAGGATATTTGGAGTATCTCTTAATGTGTGGTGCAAGTCCACTTTTACGGTTTTGCAGAAATAGAGAATGCACTGGAAAGCTTTATACTGATTGATGGGGATAACCAGTTGATTTTTTGCAACTCTTAATTAGAGGGAAACCTTTGGCTCTTATTCCAAAAACACAGGATCTCATGTCTCTGGTTAGTTACATGTTATATGTGTGGAAATGGAGGTTGAAGATTGGGGAGTAAGAAGTCAAGAACCACATACTAGGAGCTTTACCTCTTTTTTTGATGACTGGAAGTCATTCACTCTTGGTTCAGAGGGTGTCTGATCAGCATGCAGCAGGAGACCTTGGTTATATTAGATCCTCATTTGCCCCCTCTATTGCTGCCATAATTGAAGGTGTGGAAGGGAGCTGGTTTTGTCTCTCTCAGATTCATCAAAGAAGGCATCAATCTTGAGAACTCAGGTCAACAGGTGATAATATGGCAACGTGTGTGAATTAAGCCACTGTTACCTGTCACCCCTTTTGAAGCAGTGGCAATTCAAATTTCAGGTTGATATTTTGAATGCCTCCTTTTAGATTATGTATATGTATATAACAAAGTGAAGTATGGACAATCCAGGATTTTTCCACAATGGAGATAGTGTCATTTAGTGACTCCAAGCCGATTGAAGAAGGCCAGGTGGGGAGTGGTCTCAGCAATAGGCAGGAGCAGGACCAACTGAGTTTGTAGGTTGTGCCTGGAGTGTCTGAGCCCTTAGTCCCAATTAAGCTGATTGAGATCACTCAATGGTCATTATGGGGTTGAACAGGCCAACTATAGTCTATAGTTATTGTAATATTTGTTATGGAGCAATTTTCTAGACAATCAAAAACAACATTTCCAAAAAAAACTGAGGGTAGCAGAAATGTGAATATTAAGATGGACAAGTATGAAATGGAAAAGATAGGATCAAAAATAAGGAAACATTGTAGCTATGATTTTTGGCCCCATAGGGGTTGGAGACTCACTTAAGACAGAGATGGGAGAAATTCTACATGGGGTAAGACAAGCCAAAGCCATGAATCACAGAAGCTTGACTTTATTTATCAGTCACAGAAAACTGACTATTGAAGGGGACTCCATAGTAGTAGTAGGCTGGATAAGGGAAACCAGGAGGGTCCTTGGAAATAGATTCGAAGATCTGCAAATGGGTTGGCTGATGGTTTCGCAAGAGTAGGGGCTATAGGGAAGTTTGCTTTGGGGTCAAGTGATGTGATTGTACTGCTGTTTTGCTGTTTGCTGTCTTTTTTTTTTTTTTTTTTGGCAGTGTTAGCCAAGGCTAACAATCCCATTGGATGTATCTTTCCTCTTGACATCTTAATAACATTCTGTCAGTTATTCATCCAAAAAAAAATTGAACATTTATATAGGAACCTGGGACTACGAATAGGGATCAAATTTCTGACGCAATCCATGTGATCCACCCACTTACAATCCACTAAATCAACCCATTTACTTAGCAGATTAGAATTTAGAAATGGGCTGAATTGCCTATTGGGTATATTTAAATGGGTTTTTTAAGGCAAATAAAAAAGAAAATTTTATTAAGCTAAAAGAAAGAAGCATACAAATCAGATGATGAGCAATCACCCCAAAGAAAAACAAAACGAGAGACAGAAACAAACAATCCAAACCAGTTCAACCCTGCACCAAACTGAAGATACGTCTCTCTCCTCTTCCCGATCATTCCCCCGACTGTCCTCTCTCAGTCTATCTTCCCAATACCTCTCCCTCAACTTCTCTCTCCCGCCTAACAATAATATGAGACCCACATTGTTGTCCACCATGGTGATGGCCCAAATTGATTTAAAGAACTTTTCTATCATATTTAATAGCTCACGTCAACCCAACCTAAAAATGCCATGTGACAATCTACTATTGCCCAAAAAATGCAATTGGTATGTTATAAATATTTACGGATTGATTAGGATGGGTTCAGGTTGGATTCCACCCATTTACATCCATTTAAATAGGTCAGCTGAATTGTTGACAATGTTTACTTCTGATCAGGTATTTAGCCGTAGTAAATTTCTCATATCGTTGATCCGGAGTCCTAATGGAAACTTATGAACTCCAGAATAAACTAACTACATTTGACCCTGGATCCTTAACGTGCGTGATTCTATTTCCCCTGGAGATTTCAACTATGTGCATCGACCAGCCCAACTAAAAGCACTTGAATTTCGACTAAATATAACCAAGATGGAAATTCAGTTTCCTTAACTGGTAAGAACACAAAATTCTATGGTTTCAATTTTTCCCTGTATGAACAGAAAACAACACAACCGGGGGGTATCATAGGTTCCACATTAATTTTGTCGATATTTAATCGATCAAAAAAATGTTTTCGAACACTTTGGTAACGCCTCTCCTACACATAAAAGTGCGGAAATGGCATTCCAAAACTGTAAAGAAAATCGTTTTACAGTAACAGGTATTGCTTTCAAACCAGCATTTGTAAACCAAATTCATGGAAAAAACATGAGACTGGAGCGGAGCCTGAGTTCCAGATTATATATTACATAAAAAATGCACCAGAAAAAGTATGTAAAATTAGAACCATCGCATTTAGCTTGGAATCCGCCAGATTCACCCTGCATTCAATTATTTAGCTCTTAAACATAAAAACAAATTTTCGTCTTCCACAAACTGAACCAAATCTGCAACACGTTCACTGGCCTACAGTCGATCAGAAAAGGCAATACCTGCTAGAGCCAAATTTGCAACACGCTCACTGGTCTTCATTGTGGGCAAATTAGAAATCAACCTTATTAGCTACAACCGATTCTCCCCTCGCTTCTCAAGTTGCATGTGCAGAAACTAAAACCCTGCCTTTGCTGAACCTCCAATATTTGAATTACCAAAGCTTCAATAATCAAAACTAAGCCCCACTTCACCGGTAAGGATCTCTGCTTCCGCAGATCACGATCCTGCAACACAAAACTCAACCGTCACGAATCTACAAACTAAATATTCCACCTCAACTCATCCGAACCGAAATGAAACCAGCGACCACACCAACCAAAACCCTAGACGTAGGATTTTAACAGGTTGTATCGATCGCTGAGCACCGGAATTGTCTTCATCAGTTCAGAAGCAGAGGATCGATTAGGGTTTCCTTCTTCTGAATATTCAAAAATAACTGCAATCGGAAAAGAAATACACGATGTGATGACTGAGAGGAGGGAGATTTTGCGTACCAGTGTTCGGAGGTTTAACAGATCGAAGATGTGTTGATGCAAAACAGAGACGAAGAAATATCTTTGAAGAAAATGCAGAAAGAAAATGACTAAAATATCTTTGAAGGAGAGTGGGGCATTTCTTGGCGCTAAGTCAAACTCATGGTCATAGCTGTTACAGCTCATCATGAACCGTTGTTCCGGAATATTTGGTGGGCCCAGTAGCCTACTGACGTCAAACGACAAGCTGGCTCTACGCAAGATTCGTGATTAACGGAAAAAGATTCACTCATGATTCATTGATTCATACTACGAATTTACCCGACTCGTAGCATTAGCATTGCTCGTGCAATAAATTGACCGTGGACCTGAGTTAATGTTTTGATTATTTTATTATTAAATAGTGATAATTGACTGAAGGCGCTTAGGCTCCGTTTGGTTTGAGTGAAAGATGAGTAACGCTTGCTCCACGTGCCGTGCCTATTCGGTGCCGCGTTTTGTGATTTTGTCGTTTTGATAAAATGGCAATGGAGGTAACCTACCGTGCTGCTAGCATGTCATTAATATCCGGATTTCTTCGGATTTCTCGATGGGTAAAGGTGAGTGTCCCTAACGATAAGGCACGTGTGGTCCAACGTACCAAAGAGAAAGCCACGTATCAGACCGGAACTATTTGACTTCAACCCAAAATCTAGGTAGGGGTATTGACGGTTCGATTAACCTAACCATAGGCATATTTTGCAGACTGAATCGGTGATATTGGTTTTTTCATTTTTTTCATATCGAAATTGAATTGGTATCACCAGCAGTCTGTCAATTTTGGTTTTTGACCAATTCAATTATTCAGTTTTTGGGTTTTTTATATTTACGATATATATTATATAAATATATGTATAATATCATATTATAAATAATAAATGATTTATAATATATTATAAACATTTTAAAAATATATAATATTTATAAATAGATTATTACAAATATAATATAAGTATATATTTATATATAATATATAGAAAATATGTCACATATATTAAAAATATATATAAAATATACATATAATTATATATACCAATCGATTCGATTAATTGTCGGTTCTTTTGTAGGTTAACTGAAAACCGAACCGGTCCTTTAGTTTTTCAAAAATTCCAAACCAAAATTAAACTGATCAATCTGGTTAACTGCATTTTGTGGTTCGGTTTTTCAATTTTTTTGTTTTTCATGGACACCCCTACCCAGTGCACTTCAAAAATTATTAGTGTTTGGTTATATGGGCATTTATAGATGGAGTGTTTCTAGATAAGTGTTTTAATTAAAAATGTTATTTTAAGATGTTTAACTTCCATTCATTTGAAATATGGTGCCAATTCATCATTAGGGCATTGTTTGGTATAGATTATGTTTATTTGATAAATGGTGACATGTCATTGCCAAATCAACATTTATACCATCATGTTATTTTGTATGTTTAAACAATGATAAATTTTTGTCTTGATATATGTGTAAGTCAACCATTGGGGGGAGCTTCATTTTCATGCTTCCCCCAACGCAAAATTGTTTATTTACTATTCTACTGATGTGGCGCCTAATGGAGAAAGCGTTTATCAACCACATTTTCTTAGTTTTGAAGACAAATCAAGTACAAAACGTTTATTTAATAAACATAAACTATACCAAATACATACTAGGTTTGTCCCAAAATGTTATTTGTAAGTCTATTTATCAAATAAACACTTGTCTCGGTTCATGTATAAATCAACCATCGGAGAAAGCTTCATTTTAATGTTTCTCCCAACACCAGAGTGTTTATTTACCGTTCTACTTATGTGGCACATAGTTGTCAAACAACAATGAAAAAATGTTCATTTTTTCTTGGTTTTGAAGATAAATCAAATACAAACATTTTTGAAATAAACAAAGCCATTCCAAACATCACCTAAATGTTTATTGTTGTTGTTCGGTTGGGCATTTTGTGGATGTTTCAAGTAACACACCCATAAAGCTATCTTCCACCTCAGCTGACAATGTTCCAAGTAAACACTTCATTTCAATAAAACGTTTGGGACGTTGGGAGAAACCAAAATTTGAAGTTTATCCCAACTCCTCATGCAAAAATTTCAAAGAATTTGTGTTTTTTAATATTTATTTGATAAACGTTGAAACCAAACAGTGGTTGCATGCACAATAAACGCTAACACCTAAGTGGTGCTGATGTGGCCACATTTTTCCAATAAACACCCACGTAACCAAACATAGCTTGAGTTGAATGAGATATAGGTTGGTCCAAATTTGATTCATTTATATTTGAATTTGAATAGGATTATATCCATATAGTTTATATCGTATTTGAATTAAATAGAATTGAAATCCGATAAAAAATGTAAATAAATTAATTTGAATTAATCAAAATATTATATTATTAATAAGATGAAATAAAAGAATGACATAGGTGGTGTTTGGGTCCATTGCCAACGATATGCTAGTAGCCATGTCAGATTTTGAGAAAAACGACAAAAAATGTGCCATCGTATGCTTTTTGGTTAGTCATTTTCTCAACAAACGGCTCATCTCAAAAACATCATTTTTTACGTTTTTCTTTTATCAAAGCATTTTTTTTGTATGACAGTTGACATGACCCCTATGTAGCACCTTTTTTCTAATAAAATGGCAATGGAACCAAACAACACTTTGCATGAATGTTTTTTCAATCACTAAAATGGAATATCTCTTTTTGAAAAAATGCAATGAAACTAAACACCTCCTTATTGAATCCAAATTTAAAAACACAATGAAAATGACTTAAAGACAAGGACAAAAGACTTAAACATACTCTAAGTTTTCATTAATTGACTTAAGCATACATTGAATTTTTCAAAAAGACTTAAAGACACCTTGTAACTCTTTTACCCTCCATTTTTCTTTCAAATTTTAAAAAAGAACCAAAGAGATGCTAAAATTGAATATAATAGATTGATTGATGACCCCACACAATTCAAGATGAATTTTGGCTATACAAATTCCGGGCGTTGGATGTTTTAATAATGGTAGATATTGGCTACAGAAGTACCATTTAGTTATTGTGTTCATAATCAAAAAGCTCATCTTGAGATTGTTTGATGTGTTCCATCAAGTTCAAGTGAAATTTTGACACCATTTTAAACCCTATACAAGTTTCAATATTGTTGATTGATGATTCCAATACCCAAAATGTACTCTCTTACATAATTAGAAGCTCTCACTTCTCAATGTTTGAAGTCAGATCTCTTTTACACCCATAAATCACAATATATACGACTGTTAAAACATCATGTTCCAAATTTCAAATTTTGTTGAATAATGATTTTGGGTGTTTGGGATTTTGTTTAAGATAAACTTTAGGTCAATTCAAGTCAACTTTGCTTTGTCTAATCAAAATAAAGGTTTTTCTCGACAAACATGGGGTAATGAACAAATGAATAGAGAGCAAGGCTTCATCCGTTAAAGGGCAAAATAGGATTTAAAAAGTTTTAAATAAATTCACATATGACATTACATTTATGGGGTATGTTTAAGTCCAATGATGTCAATCTATATGATATATTTAAGTTCATTTGAAAAACTCAAGGTATGTTTAAGTCAATTAATGATAACACAATGCATGTAAAAAGTCTTTTACCCATACAATAATTGTGTGTTAATCGACAATGGGATACCATATTCTTCTTGTTCTATAAAGAAAATCGATAATCAAACAACTACACTTAGGGTTAAGTTGCAATGGACGAGTCCTCTAGTCCTCATTCTCCTTTGATATTTGATAAAAAATGAAATATGATTTAATGTTGAAATGTAGATTGTCTCAAGCTTATAAAGTATAGTTAGCTCAATGCTTTGATATTGGCATCACGAAGTTAAAGTGGAATTGCATGTTCTTTGTGATCCTTTTTTTTATTTTATTACTAATTTTGAAAATGTATTTATTTGTTTCAGCCTACTCTATTCTTCTTTATCCCCAATAGAATTTTGTGGGTTTTTTGTTTAATAATAAATAAATGATTAATTACTTATATATATTACGTATATTTGATAAATTATTTATATATACCATATACATCTGAGAAACTACTTATATATACCATGAGCTTTCAAAAACAAAAACAACTTATACATGCCTTGTTGGCTAGCCCCACATAACATAAACAAGATCATCGTTAGTGCACCATTTAGAGCCATTAATACCTTACTCCAATTACTTTCATAATAACGATATTACCCCAAATTCTATGACAAAAAAAAAAACTATAACCCAAAAACAAGAGGCAATAGGTTGGTGTTCATTTAATTAATATAAAGTTCAAAACATAGTAAGAATAATAGAAAAAATTTCTAGTTCCCCATGTAATTGTTCCCTATTGACGAATGACACTTTTCCATGAAACAAAAGGGTGAGTTTCGTTGGTTCTGATATTCAAGTTGGCTTTTGTACTTGGTAAGTAGATACCAATCAAATCATCAAAACTCTGACACAACATATTTCCAATGTCATCAATGTCCTTACTAATAGTTAAAACAATATTTCTAAAATCCATGAGATTTGTAGGTAGAATTACCCAATACAATTATGATTATTTTCAAAGAAAAACAAGGAAGCAATTATGACCATTTTTACAAAAAACAATGAAGTACCCATAATCAATAAGGAAGTTATTCTTTTTAGTTGAGCAATGTTTAAGGTAGAAGACACTGTTTCGCATAGGTAAAAAGTGTCCTATAAATATTTCTTATTTTTCCTAGAAAAATTAGAGAAAATGGAAAAATGAAAAAAAGGGAAAATAGTGTTCATCATTTTTTCCTCCCAAACATCGAACATATCAACCGTTGGCAAAAGCCATTCTAGCTTTATTGTGCTTTCACTTTGAAAAAAACAAGGTACCAAAAATGCTTATTATGTTCTAAAACTACCTATGCTTCTAATATTTATAAATAAAAAAAAACTTGAGTCTAGTTTGTATGGTTCAATAGTTAAAAGTACAAAAGCCTCCCATGACTCTATTATGTTCTCAAAAATGATTTACCAAAACATAATCTTAGCAAAGAGATATGAAAGATTTCAATAACAAAGCCTACTTTGTTCTAGTGGCACTCCTTTCCAT